TACCTTAGTTTAGTTCAATATAGCATTGTTTGTAGATACTTTTTTAAAAATATAACTGTATCCAATTATGCCACATTTTATATTATACTTATATTAAGAAGATAGTATACTAATAAAAAACAAATTAAATCAGAATTACAAACAAATAAGTAACTTTTTATTATTGGATTGGATAATATAACAACTTCAACTAATGTTGAACAAAATTTTTCCAATTTGTCTTTTTTGTTTGCCAAATATTTCTTTCAATGATGTCCATACTAAAGTCAACTATTGCCAAGCCTATATTACAATTAATAGATTATCAAAAAAAGCTATTAATATTGGGCTTGATGCTAGTTCTAATGTATTAGAAGAACTTAAAAATTGTATGAATAGTTTTATCAGTAAATATATACCAAAAGGTAAAGAAAAAGTGACTTGCAAAAGGAATATAAGTCAACAAGAAAACGAAGATAAAATATCAAATTCAAGTTTTAGTGACAAAAAAAATTTTATCGAAATTGAAAATCTAATCGTAAATTTAAAAAGAGATGTTTCAAGAAAAAAGCACTTCAAAAGTTCTAATAAATTAGAAAATAAAAGCAAATCTAATAATAAATATTCAGAAGCACAAAAAACTTGAAAACCAACTCAGTGTCAACAATGCTAAAACACAGAACATAACAAGGCTAGTTGTAAAGTATGACATGAGTGACAGGATATTTTTTATTCATATTGAATCATATTTATAATAGATATATTATTAGTAGTAGATTCATAAGAAATAATTGCTAAAAGTATATATTACTGCTACTATAATTAGATTTACACAGTTATTGTTTAGTAAGTTTGTATAAACTTTTCATATAAGAATATACTGGGTTGCATATCAGTTACATGATATGTCACACCTAATTTTTTTTATATATAAACTTATGACAAAAACATATAAAATTACATATAAACTTTGAAACCTAATGGTTTTTTCATTTACATATTAACTTTAAATTAAATTTTATGAATAAATACATCAAGAAAAGACAAAAAAAATGTAGTTTAAGCCGAATTAAAATTTTGCAATTTTGCTACAATTTAAAAATGTAACTTTGCCAAAAGAAAAAATTTAGCAAGTTTAAAGTAAGA